TAAACTCAACAACTTTGCGTGAGAATTTAGATCCAACGTTTCGGAACGTATTGCTTTCTATTCCCGGAGGTAGCTATATACGATAGGATACAAAATTTCATTTGTCTAAATGTCAATGTCGATCACCTCTTATCATTTATATCAATTTCATAGGATTGGAAATGTCTTTCAAAGGAGTATTCTTGTAATTGTTGAGTAACAAGAATAACTTGATTATTTGGCTCTAGGATTACGATATTGATCAAATATAATTGAGGACCAGCCTCGGTCGGCATCATCAGTATTACGTTTTTTCTGATATCATATCCCAAATAATTGAGAGAGCTTACTATTGTAATATCTCCAGATCGATTGGACGGGAGAACTGGCTGAAAATGACGATAATTTGGATTTAATTCTAATCTCTTGTTAAGAGCTGGACCAGGGAGAAAAGGTGGTGGTAAAGACTTGTCGATGAGTAACCGATAATTCAATTTTAATTGTGCCTTGATGGCTATTTTTAGTATTTTCTACGATATCGAGAAAAGGAGAGATTACCATGTATAAATAGTACTGATTACCATCCACATGGTAATCTCTCCTATAATAATGGTTGTCGTTGCTATATTGTATAGTAATGCCTACCATGTTCAAATGGTATTGATTACCATACAACATAGTACGCTTTACTGTTGAACATAGTAAAAATTACTATTGAGATTGACTTAGAAACCCTTTTACCATAATTTATGGTAACCTCTACCATACAAAAGTAACTCCTACCATTTACTTTTCTCCGTGTATTGAATATGTTAAATTCAACTCATGACATTTCACTGCTTCAGTAAAGAATATCTATTAGTTTCTTAGTGTCGTCAATATAATTTTTATCACTAGAAGACCATAATTTTTCTTGTGATACACTTCTTCATTTTGTTGAGTGAAAAATTTTCATTTTCAGTTCGTTTGTTCCGTTCAGTTTTTTAAAATCAATTTTGGAACGTGTTTGAGAAATTCATTTCATTACTCATCGAAATTCGGGTTTAAATGTACGGATAATTCCTAAAGTTTTTTCAATCTATTGAACTTAACGAATCGCAGAAGCCATATTTTGGATAATAAAAAGAATGAATTTCGGTTGCTTGGAATTGAAAAAAAAAACTCGAGCATAACATAGAAATATGTTCTCTCCTCAAAGCGACTAGAGGGTGTGTAGTTGGCTCGAGAGGGGTTGTCTACCACCCCCTGCAGAGCCGCAATTCAACCCGCGGATACATAAAAAAGCGAGTGAAACACAAGAATGAATGTGTACAGGGATAAATGTTGGTGGATATATAACAATAGTAGAGCGATGTTTCCTGACTCGCCTCACGACTCTTGGGTGGAGTCGAGTGCAGAGAGGTACATAGTGGGCATTGAGGAAAGAAAAGTAGCTGTGTTCTCGGTTATAGCTCAAGAGGAGCCTATGTAACTCTCACTCTATTTTATTTATTATCGTAATCTAGTGCATCAACAAGGACAATCAACTCTTGTACTCTCGAACACTTTAGAAAGTCTTTATTTGATAATTAATTACATTTTGCTCATTTAATTTTGTCTCCCGAAACCGGAACGAGACATGAAATAGGAAAAAATCTATATATCTTCACTCACCATCAACCTGTCATCGAGAGGGCAAAAAAAGAATGAAGAAATTCACAGGACAATAAATGCAATTGATGATAAGATTTCAGAAGAAAAATAAAATTCATTAGGCAAAGAATTCAAATATATGATTGGAAATGGGATAATAAATAATGTTGATTCCCATACAACAACAATTCATGTATCCGTGCAGTTATGGAGACATCCGTAATTAATTAGAGTGCTTGAATAAACAACCTCCTACCCGTCACAGGGTTTGAATTCTCTCTTGGTTGTTGAGTTTAGAACTTTGAGACTTTGGGTAAATATAATCAGCCGCATTTCCCTGGGGACTGGTGATGATTACCTGGATTGGTAAATTGTCCTAAAAAAATCTCCATCGGATCTTTACATTGATTCATGCCTGTCAGGGAAAAGTTCAGTCAATTAATTTTTACTGTTTGTCTCGTTGCACGCGCGAGAAAATTTAATAGAAAAACCTAGCGAATTCGTTAGAAAATTCTATTGGATTTCTATTGAACTTTCGATTAGTTTTTGGCCGATTCTATTGAAATGTTCAATAGAAAATATTCAATAGAAAAAGTCAATAGAATTCGATTTCTCTATATAACTTATTTTCATCAGATATTTTCTATAGAATTCCCTCGGCTCGAATCTTCTAAGTTTTTTCATTCTATTTTTCTGTTCTCATCAAGAAAATTAAACAAACAAGCAGGCGACCGACCCTATTCGACAGAAGACTTGTGACACCACACTGTTATGTCAAAAGTCTTCATTTTTCTGCTACCAATTACATTGGTTATAAGCTTCCGAAGGGAAGAAGTGCATCGTCTATTTTTTATTTTTATTATTTCAACCGTAGTATATAAAATCATTTCGTCCTCTTAAAAATTTCATATGTAAAATTATGTGGTTTTACTCCGATTCAATTATTTCTCTCGATTTCATTCGTATTTTCCAAAACAGACTGATCTGTGCTGATGAATACACGTCCCATTCGAATTCAAAAAAATCATTCTCATTCCAGATGGTATTCCATAGTGCAACTTTTCTTCTTTCATATGGAATAGCGTTCCGAATTTGGATCAACTATTGAAATCAAATTATAGTTCGATAAGACATATGTTTTTTTCTTTCAATCAAATACTCAAAACAATTATCTAACTAACTTCATCCCTCGGGAATCGATTCGTAAGAAGCTCAATTACATCTTCGTCGTAAATTAATATTTTCACTAATTTCGATCTTGTTCCGAAATATCCGTTGAAAAGGACTAAAGCATAAAATCTTGTCCCATTAATATTCTGCACTCCAATATTGGCAAACACCATGCCTGTCAATCTATAAAAAATTATCGTTGTAAAAATACTATCTCATGTTATCATTTTGGAGCTTTGGATGGAGGTCATCGAGACAAGTTTTTAAAAAAAAAAAAAATTTAATCCCTCGAGAAGTAAAGGAGTTATTGGCCAAAATGGGTTTCCACAAAAAATTGAATATCTCGCGAACCGCTCGGTCGATTTTGCCCATTCAAAATACCATTCGTCTATGTCATGAAAGCTACGAACATACCAAATTTCAAGTCAACAACAACCTTTTTTATCGAGTTATCGCGCGCACAACGTTTTTCGCAAAAAAACAGATTAACGGCAATATCTCTAGACTCAACAGCGATTGTTCGATATATTATGGGTGCTTCAGATGGAGGTCATTGGGACGAGTATTTTAAAAAAAAAAAAAATTTAATCCCTCGAATAGTTAAGGAGATATTTGCCAAAATGGATTTCTACAAAAAATTGAATATCTCGCGAACCGCTCGGTCGATTTTGCCCATTCAAAATACCATCCATCTATGTCATAAAAGCTACAAGCATACCAAATTTCAAATCGATATTAACATTTTTTATCGAGTTATCGCGCGCACAACGTTTTTCACAAAAAAACCGATTAACGGCAATATTCCTAGACTCAGCAGTGATTGGTGTATGTATTATGAATAATTCAGGTAGAGATCATCGAGACGAATATTTTGAAAAAAAAAAGTTGAAATCGGTGCATTTATTGAGGAGATATAGCTGAAAAACGAAATTTAAACAATTGGCAATATCTCAGGAACTACTGGACCGATTGAGCCCAAATGGAGCCACAAAGTGGGGCTTATTCATAGCTATCATCAGTAAAAATTTCAAGTTTTTATCTGCGAATTTCACCGTATTTATGTTAAAATTTCTAAAAATAAACCCCCAAAACAGCCATTCTGCACATACATACGTACAGACGCAACCTCAAAAACATCATTTTTTCACGTTTCATGACATTCTAGATCATTTGCAATGAAAATTAGAAAATCGAAAAATCGACCAAAAATAATGCTTCCCTTCGGAAGCAAAAACATTGAAAATTTGAGTCAAGGAAATTTTATAAAAAATATCTCAATAGAATAAGTTATATAGAAAAAGAATCGGCCAAAAACTATAATCGACTAAAAACTAATAGAAAGTTCAATAGAAACCCAGTAGAATTTTCTAACGAATTCGCTAGGTTTTTATATTCAATTTTTTAATCGGTGTTGATGTCTTTTCTGTATAAATGAATCTACTATGCTGATGATGATTCAAGCATTATTTTACAATTTCTAGCAACCCCATCGACTTATTCAAATAAAGCGTGGGTATATCCACATTAGGTTTTTGATTTTCTCTCGAGCAATGGAATTGACCATTGAGGAATTAAATCATTTTCGATCATCGATTGCCCAAATAATAACATTATCAAAGTAAATTGAGTTTCGAACTTGGCTATAAATCGGATGCAATATTCACTTGAAATTTTACTGCAGTTACCAAATTTCTCCATGAATTTCCAATGTTCATTGAATTTCAGGCGAATCGCTCCGTTAATTTTTTGCGTAAAAATACGACATAATATGTGTATTTTTGAAACCGACCGCACGGAAGTGGTAAATTATAAATTTGTACGGATGAGTAATTGTAGTAGTATAACACAGAAACCCCATGGTTTGGCGTTTTTTTTGTTTCTGTCTCGGGTCATAGTCGCACGTGCGACAGTACGTATGGGGTTTCTTCGTTAAAGTACATGAGTACGACCATAACCGATTATGTATCTGCCTTACTATATCGGAAGTCTACTTGCGTACGGAAGCAACATCTCATTGTGGTCTTTGCGGTCACAGGTGCATTGTAGAAATTGGCCATTAAAACTGGAGAAGCCTATGAATTTCGACCTACTCGAGTTTGAAGAAATTCAATATAACAACCTGATTACTTTTTTAAAATAGAATTATGTCCTATTTTTACGTAAAAACAATTGTCATATGAAAGTTAACGTTTTATTCATTGCTATGTCGTTTTTTTTAGACTGGAAGAAATTGGGTTTCTTCTGAACATCCTTTGGATACTCCAGTCGATTGTGCGAGTGACGACGTACCTTGTATTTCTGCAGGTTTGTTTCAGTTCAATAAAAATTGATCGACGCATTTTGTTTAGTCAATATTCCAAGATCGAAGTAGATTGACGAACTTCATCGACAATTTTTTGTCATTGAAAATTTTGGAGATTAAAAAATTGACCATTGATAAGTTTTCCCAACTCTATTAATTATGACGATATTTGAATGAATGAATATGAATATTGTTTTAGGTCACCCCGTTCATGAAATGACATCGTGGTCTTGCATCGAATCCCTCTTCAAATTCCTTGAAGAACGTTATGACAATCGCATCAAAAGAAAGGATTAATTTTTGCATTGTACTTACTCCTCATTATATCCCACTGACTTGTTGATCGAGTGTGGTAGACTGTACTTCTTAAGGTGCTTGTTAATAATAAATTTTAATAAAAAAGGAAAACTAAAACTAAAAAACAATGCTTTGAAGAAGAAATATTTATTCATCCAGCTTTTGAGATTTTGTTGAATTTTCTTCGCCTTGACGAGGAAAGACAGAACCTGCACGCGTCGGAGAGTAATCATATTACGGACTGTAATCGTGTTACCAGGATATACCCCTCTGCATGGTGGCATTACCGGGCATCTTCAACAGATATATCACATTTTTGTAAAAAAAAAAATGTACAACTAAAAAAGCCTGTACACGTTTTTTCCATCAATTTTCGTTCATTCTCTATGTTCGATATCATGTCATATTTCTTTTTTACTTTTAAGGTACTTCCGCAGTAAGTATACTTGGTGAAAATTTCGAAATGGTATAAAGACGCAATATTTGGATCATATGTTGTTGACCACATTACAAAGATATTCCCAAAATTTCAAGTTCCTGGTCCACCCCATTTTTGAGATATGCATCGCCAAACATTCAATTTTTGTGTTTTTTCCATTTTTGACGATGTATATCTCGAAAATGGGGCGGACAAGGTACTTGAAATTTTGGAAATGGTTTTTGAATGTGCTCAATAACATATGATCCAAATATTGCGTCTTTATACCATTTCGAAATTTTCACCAAGTATACTTACTGCGGAAGTTCCTTAAGAGCATCTCAAGAACCCCTCGAATAATGGGAAAAAAAATTTATCCTGAGAAAGCGGATAATTTTCCCTGTCCAGACAGCAATTACAATCTCCACCGTAATACCGTTTTACTTGAAAATAAAAAAGAGGGACGACTGCATACAGAACTTCCCCTTGAAATCTGTCCACATAAACCGTATCATCAACTCTTCTTTCGGGCTACTCTCATCGACAGAGCGGATATGTCCAGGATAAAAGAGATGAGAAGAAAAAGAAAGAAAAAAAGGGGGAAGTGAGTAGAGCACCAATCTTTCTTATCGTTTGCCCGCAAGAATATCATCGGTCAACAGAATCTACTTTTTTCCCTGGTCTTATAAATATGAAAAAAATAACGATAACGATAGTGCGGAATTTTTCGACAAAAAAAGTAGGAGTAAGTGTAGGTGACTATAGCAAAGAAGACTATCTGAGAGCTTCATAAATGAGGCGAGAATTGTCATCTAACTCATATCGTTATCTATACGGAAGATAAATGAGTTAGTGAGAAAAAAACTAACGCGATATGTCATAAAACAGTTGAGAAGCACGTGCTGTATAAAAAACATGTCAAAAAAAGTGAAGGAATACATGTTTATTTCTTATAGAGTTAGTTGCGCTCATATTTCTTAGGCATTAGCTTATCATATGTTGATAAAAAACATTCTGTGAATGACAGATAGTTGGTTTGTGATTATGTGATTATATACCCTGGTTAGTTGAGCAATTTCAGATAGTTGAACAAAATTAATAGCCGGATTAAAAAAGGTCTCCAGATGAATTCATCATTAATGAAATAATGGAGTAAATAGAATCTATATTTAAACATTATCTTCCTCAACGTATGCTTCACATACATAACCATACGAGATTTCCGTAAATAATTTACTGCGTTTTAGATTGGTATTCGTTCTTGTTAATCCATGAATCATGACTAAAGAGGACAAAAAATACCTCTATAAAGAATGGTTGGGAGAATTGTTGGAGCGCACGCGAGGACCCAAGGCCCCGGAGGGCCAGACGTCCTCTGACATTTCTAATAATAAACCTCTCGTAAAAAAGACACTCTCAGTGTTATTTTTTTCTCTCATACTCTCCGTCACTTTTTTTACCATCTCTCACTGCATCCCCTCTGTTCACGCACAAAAGTTAATCGTCTCCAGTTTGCCGGTTGTCACTGGGGACTTGATGGATGAGTTCGTGACGTCATGTCGTAACATTTTACACCAAGACAATTACAAACATCACGTGGATATTTTTGCATAAATATTTCAGAGTGTCAGTATTGTCAAAATTACTATTAATTTTTTTCTTTTATTTCTTTCGTGGAATCGATCAATGAAATATAACGGTAGACTGGAAAAAACTTAGCTTGACTGTGAATATTACTGGAGGGTTGCGAGAGTGCACCTTGGCGGGAGTTCACGTGGGAGGTCTCGGGTGAGGTTATGCAGGGGGGTAGAAATGAGGCGACCCACGACCTTTTGCCTCGACCAATCGCGATTCACATCCAAGACGGAGACTGCCAATGAGAGAAGCGAACAGGGTCAACCCCTCTGCGCTCCTTTCGACGTGTGTTCAAGAGAATCATACACGTTGTAATGAACGCACTCGCCTCGAACATCTAAAATACACTTCTTCTTTCGACAGATTTTTGTGATGGAAAATCCCTCATGACCCATTGATATTATTCTTCAGATTATTTCAGAAATGAATAATTGATATTTTTGAAACAACTCAGATATCAACCAATTTTGCACTTGTCGCAGGTAATATAGTTATAGGATCTGCTAATCTTGTAAATTGAATTGTTGGGTAAATCAAATGTTGCACGTTATCTTTGCCTTCGGATGGGAGTTTTAAGTTACCCGCGCAACAACTTTTTGTTTTTTGGCAAATACAGAAGTGTAAATGTTCAGCTTGTATAAATTTCAACTCCCTTTGGGATCCTTCAAAGTGTCGACTGTTCAATCCCTCGATAATTCGATAATACTGTAGTTAGTATGTGGCCTTCATATGTAACACGTTTGAAAATAAAATTTGTAAGGAAAAGCAAGTCTCACTCTGTGGGAAATTCACTTCAAACGGAATGAATTTTAAGACACACATCTACACATATGTTTATCAGACAGAAAATGAAGTCACAGGATATAGATTGAAAGAAGAAAAAAAAAGAAAATGAAATAGCCATAAAATGACGAGGGAAGTGGTCTCTTATTCCGGAGCATTCCCTCTTCCAACGATATCGTGAAATACAATTTATGCCTCTATAATAGCCAACGAGCATGGAGTACACAAAGGCGCGTAAGTATAATGTTCACGGGCATAGGTGGAACATACGTTTGAGAAAAGAGGTGGATAGAGGGTGGTTATACGTTAAAAAGAGCGAGTAGGGTTGCGCGGATAAAGAGACGCGTGGATGTGCTGCCCAACCCATGAGTTCACGACGATAGCGCGGGCGTTATCGAACCGAGGGTGACGGCCCCGGTAATTACTTCCTCGACCATACTAGGGAGAGTAAAGAGGAGTAACGGAAGAAGGAAAGTTGGCGCCGGTGGAGGGCGTGCGCGCGCCCTCTGGGGGTGGGGTCAGAGGTCACTGAAGTAGAGGCTTACGAGCAGCCGCTCTCGGTCAGCCAATCGACAGCGCTTACCTTCCAACTTCCAATTCACTTTCCACTGGCATGGAATAATCAAGATTGAAAGTTTTTCAGCAAATGTTATGTTAAGATGGTTTTCACTGGTATTGATTTGAATGAGCCAGTGTTTTCGAAGAATGACAGAAAGGCCAGTAAAGTCATTGTTCGAGATTGAAGAGAATTTTTCATTTTCAAGGTTATGAAGGTCACTGACAGGTGGTTGTTTACTTTTAGACCATATTTTATTTTTTCTTTGACATTCTTTTTTGTCACAAGTCTAGAACAGCTGAGGAGTTGACAATAAAGTATGATTGATTTATATAATTTTTTATATGTATTTTTCTAACATTGGTTTTGTCATTTTTTGACTGAATTTTTATGCAAAACAAATACGTGCCTTGATGAAGGACAGCTTGAGTGTCCCTTGATATATGTGAAAGAATTTGTCTCTATTTTTAGAATTTTTAAAAAGTTTATTGGAAATTGCCGTGATTAATGCATATGGCTGAGAAGTATAAAGTTTTTCAAGATGTTAGTGAGGTAGCGTTAGTTGCCAGTCGTTGGTCAGGCTCAATTAATCATTACTTAATTAGATGAATATTATATGAGCGATAGAAATACATGTAATTCAATCTTACTCCTGAGCATTCGCGACAGGTTCGAGGAGAAAACAATCAATACCGGCATGTGACTGGCATGGGTATGGCTGCCAAATAACTACTGACAATTATCAATAATAATAAAAACCGCATAATTAATTCTTTTCAGGATCATTTTCATATCCTATTCTATTACAATCATTGCCGGAAAACCAATTTTGTTAATTTAAAATATTACCCTGACTTGGGTTCGAACATACGACCTCACGATTACTACTCGTTTTTTCAATACTGGAATTTCCTACCTGGGTCACCCTTGATAATATTTAACTTGAGATATTCGTAGAATGATAAAACGGAACAAGTCGATTTTTGACATCTTGTTATAATGGAATCATTCCAATGATGAGTAGTATTAGTAGAAAGCGTCAGGAGAGATTTTTTTGGTTGAAAATTTTTTTTGTTCTATGCAAAAGAGTATATTGGAATTTTCTTATAAAAGCACCCGTTCAATGAGCCAATTTTTCAAAGAACGACAAAACGATCGACGGCAACACTGACCCATGTTAAAGCGGTAGGTAGGTATAAACCCTCGCCTGACCGGTTTGTACCTCCCCGATGTTATATGAAAATCGTATGGGAAATTGACTTATTTGACCAAACGTGTTTTACCGCTGCTATACAATCAATGATCTGAGACAAATTTTCAGATTGAAATCAGTCACATACTTTGTCGATATTTTATATGAAGAAAAAATGAAATAACAATTTTGGTTAACTGAAAGGTGAAGAATTTCACATGAATATCCTAACCGTATACCATATTAATAATCTAGCGATTGAAAATGGTTCCCAACCCAGTCATCAACCCCTGCCACTGTATATTAGCATGATAAACGACCTCTCATAAGAGAGTGTCCACTTATATCTCACCTGATTAAAAATTTCTTAGTTTTGAGGATGCCATTAAATTTTCGCATTAAATATCACGCGAGTTAATCGGCCATGTGCCATGCATTCTTCACCATAAACTCTCCTTTAATTGTTTTTTCTTTATCA